TTTTAAATTTGTTAATATCTAATTATTTTTAATTTGGCAGATTTTAAAACAAAGAATGAATATGTAATATTAAATTGCAGCTAGAATTTTTTTCTATTCTCTTTGTTTAAACTCGACGTAACTGCTTTTAAAGATTTTTTTTATCTTATAAAAAAAAAAAAAAAAAAAAAAAAATGTTTGTATGAAATATCATTTCATTAATCACAATAGTTTGTTTTTTTTTTTATATTTATATAAAATTTTTACATATATATGATATATATATTATACGATTGAATTATAATACATAAAAAAATACAAGAAAATTGTACTTTAATAAAATTTTGTTTCATTTTTCATTCATAATATTATTATTTATTTATATAATTATTTAAAATTTATATAAATAATATTTAATATNCATATGCAATATCTTGCAAACAAATTTTTTTTAATTAATATTAATATTATAAATATAATATTATAAATATAATAGAAATTATTATAAAAATAAAGAAAAATATAAAAATAACAAATTGAAAAAAATATTTTAATATAAATAAATATAAATATAAATTTATAGTTATACAATGCATCACGAAAAAAATAAAACAAAGAAAAAGACCAAAATTTTTATAATAAAGCAATAACAAAAACTTGATGAAATTTTTAAAAACATAATATTTTTAAATAATTTGACAGTTCAATATTAATTTAAAAAAATAATAGTCATACAGGTATATTTTATGTTTCAATATGATAACGTAAATATATATTGTAAGAATTTTTTAAAAAATAAATATATATATGTGTGTGTATGTGTGTGTGTATATGTGATTAAAGCATGAAAATTATGATCTCTAATTTTGCTTTCATTTATTTTACAAGAAATATCTGTTTTATATTTTTATATTTTATCATTATGTTTTATCACAATGTTTTTTTTTTTATATAACTTTCAATTCCAAATAAATTTTTTCGCAAAATAATTAAAAATACAAATAAATTATGTATATATATATTTACTGAAAGCAATTATATTTTGATAATTATATAAAATTATTAAATATTTTTAAATATTTTTATTTTTATTTTAAATTATAGATATTTCATAATTTTATTGCTAAATATATTTTATGATAGACTTAATGATATGAAATATATATAGATATATTCTTATATACTGTGTTATATTATATATATATAGATATCAAAAGTAGGAAGGTTAGACATTATATTCATATTTCATTAATCTTTTATTATTAAATATTAAACAATCTTTATTACATTAAAAATATAAATTGTTTAATGTTTACTAAAATTATGAAAATATAATTATAAAAACTTCGCAGTGTAAATGTTAATTTCAGAGTGTACGTTCACAACACATAAAATTAATGAATTATGATAAAAACAATATATATAATTATTAAATGAATATTTCAAGTAATTGAAAATATGTTCAAATTACATAATATTTTATATAAGATATTAATTAATTACAATATATTTTGTTATAAATTGTTTTACAAGAAAAATTCTATAGATCTTTATATTTACAATTTATAGAAAATATACAGAAAAATTATAATTATTATAATATAATTAACAAATTTTAAATTTTATATAATGTATATAACTAAATGTAAATTAATATTTTTTCTATATGAATATGAATTACATTTTTTTGTAAACAACATGATACATTTATTCTACAGGTTTCAATGTGATAAATCTTGAAAGAATAAATGCAACTAAAAATGTTCCTGCTACAAAGCAGGCAACAAAAATATACCATGTTTCTTCATCAAATACATCAGTAAAAGCTGGAACTTGATTATAAAGTGTGTCAATCAGTTTCATATTATAATTTTTATTATTTGAAGTATGACTTGCCATTTTAAAATAAATTATTTCTTATGCTGTAAAAATTCAATGCTTTTTAAAACTTGATTAGGAAGAAGAAAAATAATTAAATAGCCAAATTATATTATTACAAAAAGAATCACTTCTTTTAAACTTAATCTTCAGATTCACATGGAGACAAAGATGTAATGTGTTTGTTGTAAAGTTCCAAAAGATTTAAAGATGTCAAGTTTGCACATTTGCATACTATTTTATCGCCAGATACTAAAAGATATGAAAATATCAAATTTGTTTCTAAAGAGATCTTTTAAAATTTAATTGTAATTTTAGTTATTGTATTTACTTTCTATCATATTTTTATTTTTAAAATATTATGAAAATATAATTAAGTTTTGAATGTAATTATAAATTTTTTTATATCAAATCTTTATATTAAATGATATAAATTAATTAAGTATTTTTAAATAAAAAGTGTTGTAATACTCACACAAATTGAATGTAATTACGGGTTCAGATAAATCAGAAACAATGCATGGTTTTACAATGCAACGTGGATTTGTTGCAATAATCTTTGGAGTTGTAATGTGAAATAGAAAATCTCTGTAAATATATACAATATAAATATATATAATACACAAGAAATATTTATTATAATGTATAATATTAAATCATTATTTTTTAAATTCAAGTTTTTCTTTATAATTAAATATTAACATAACATGATTCATAATGAAAAAATATTTAATTTATTTTATATATTTTAATATTGAAAATTTTTCCATTATCTTTTATTTTTTATTCTATTTTCAGAAAAAATGGCACAATTAAAGCAGCAACTTCCACTTCAAATGCCAGATTTAAGTAGTCTTCGTATAACTACAGCTGTTTCTATGCTTGGTAAAGCATATGGATGTGGACAATGTAGTGGTAAGTTCTTTAACTAAGAATTTTTTTCAATAAAAAATATAATAATTATAAAATAATTAAAGTATTAAAAAAATTATTTATCATATATTTTTTATCATATATATATATATAAGAATTAATAGAAAAAAATATCATATAAATAATTTAAGAATCCAAAATATTTAAATATATACAGAAAAAAAATTTAAATAACAAAAAATTTTAAATAAATATCAATTTTAAATAAATATCAAAACAAAAATTTGTCTTTTTTTTTTATCTAATTTCTAATAAATATTAAAATTCTATAATACATAATTCATATAAAATATTTGAATTAAACTTGAAGTTAAACTTGATATTTGAATTAACAATGAATTTTTTCATATTTTTCAAATTTTTTTTAAGCAACTTAATTTGTAAA